CAAAACAAATATCGAAAATTCTGAAAATTGTTCCGAATGGATCGAGGTCAGTAGTACTTAGTTCCCAAGCGGCAGCGCATAACTCGCTCATAAGCAATAGAAATCCTAATCACGATGCAGAGGGTACATCTAGAACCTATCAAATACCTCTATACCACCTAACGAGCAGAAAACTGGTTTTGTTTGTGTTAATCTGTAGGGCATCTACAGTAGTATATATTTCCGAAGTTTCATGCCTAGAAACATCATGGTTGAAGAATGGTGAAGTATACACTGAGTGGGTACTACATTGGCTATCGTCAATTTTTAGTTGAGGGTGCCTCCGTTGTGATTATAATATCTCAACAGGGGAAAGATTTTAGGAGAAAAAATTTTAGGTATTTTCCTATCTTATCTAGAACTACATACAGACAAAATTTCATCAAAATTGGTGATAACAATTGAGTACGCTTGGTCATCCCTATCGTACAATGCCTCCTATGTCTAGCTAGAAAGAAAGAAAGAAGAAAAATTCGTGATGCAGTACTATAAAGTGCTTCGCACCGCAATAATTAAGAAGACGACATTGTAAAATAAATCATTACGAAAACTCTATCAAGGCGTACCAACTTCTTCGTAACGAATGCTATCGATTGATGATTTAATTATCTATATAACTCATTATCTATAATCAACTGTATTCACAGCTGTTTGACATATGATCGAAAAGAGTGACATCTACTTTGTTGTTGATTTCTTCATTTTAATTATCTGTAAATGAAAAACTGAGGAAATCTTGATAAATTTTTCTTTTTGACGCAAGGTGATAGCGAACGGAAGGTCCCAGAGAACACTGAAAAGAAACGCTATCGGCTTCATATTGATACTTCAACCCAGCGTTTGAACGAATATTTTGTGACCTTCCGTTTTTGAGATCATTAAAACACAAAGCGAAAAATAAGGAGCGTACTTGAGACTATCTCACTAGCTTTAATTATCTTGGGTAGAGGATGAAGATCAAATTATCACAATTGCTGTTTTTCAAAACTTCCTGTAGATGAACGAAATCTCATATTGAAGATTTGAAGCCATTCGGATCATCTGGCAACATTGATTACTCTCACAAAGTTTGAACGAGTTTCTAGAGACTTGGCGTTCTGTAGAGCATCGCGACATAAAGTATAAATTTTCTTACAGTGAAAAACATGCAAAGTATGGAGGCTGAATGCGTACAGGAAGAACTATATAAACGCTGTGCTACGCAACGCATTAATTACCCATATGATTTATTATCAGTTATCAGCTGCCCAAACAGATCTAATCAATAAAATCAGTTTAGTCCATAGACCAGCTACTAGTTTTATGCTCTATTCATTTCATTTATCTTGAAAGGTGAAAAACAACAAAATTTTCGAAAATTTGTCTTCTTGGGAAACTACTTATAACTGAATGAAAAGTTCGGTGGAACGACCGGAAAAATTGGTATTGATTTAATCTCAAAACTTTGATGTCGCCTTGAAACGACAAGTTTCTCAATTTTCGTTCTCGAGATGATCGTGATACCAAACGATAACTTGGATGCGTACTGTGAACAGATAAAATAGAGAAAAAACAAAAAAAAAACAACTTGAGAAAGACCACATAAATGCCGTGCTACGCACCGCATTACACCTTTTTTTTTATAAGAAATCAATTTCTTTGATGTCTCAGCATTCAAATCTTTGCAGCACATTTCGCAATTGAGTGAAACTTGAAAACTATCTAATTATTGCTGTCCATTTCATTCTTTTCTATGTAGAACTACTTAGAAGATACGCAATTACTTTTTGACGCTTACAGAAATGAATCAATTCTTGCAGATTCTAATTGATTTTGATCCATGTCACTACATCCATGACCTCCTACAATACAGTTGACACGGTTTCTAGTAGTCGAAGTCAGCTATTTTCTAGAGGAAAAAAACAATAGAATTTATCATATTAGTATAAAATTATAAATTAAACAAACAAATCTACGAAATAACAGCAAATAGAGAAAAACTAATAGAATTTAAAACGAAAGCTATCTAAATTAATTCAAGACTTGAAAAAAATTTTCCATAATATTCAAAACTACCTAATATGAAACTATTAGTAATTATCAATGAATATGTACAATTTCGATTGAAAACAATTTGAAATCAAGAGTATTCTTAAAATTATATAATTGAATAATTTTACATGGAACAATTCTAATGCAATATTCTGCTGAAAAAAGAATCTTGAAAACATTATATCATTACATTATGTACGTAGTTCAATATGAGAATCCGAACTATGTTATAACCTCAAAAAGTATTGTCTTACTGTCTAATTTCCGTTTTCTCAAGTAGAATGTGAAAAGATTCATTTTCTAGTTTAATACATCATTGTTTAATGAGATAGAAAAACATCTGGCATTATGTATTCTTTTTCTTGGTATTGTTAAAGTATGAAAACCACCATTAGCTCTTGACTGTGAATATTTTGCATAAGATGATTCAACAATTCTAAATCCATGTCGTGCTAAACAATAATTCAATTCTTTAACTTTTCAACCAGTATAGGACTATATTCATATATTTAATTACTGAAAATTCGGAGATTAAATTTTGAATAAAGTTTAGTGAAGACTCATCAGGATACACTAATCTTAACATTTAGTGAATATCTATGAAACAGAGAGTTAACGTGTATTCATACTTCAGTAAGAAACACAATGGAATATGAAGCATGATTCAATAAAGTCGTAAGATCTAGGTGAGATTTTGACATAAGATTTAATCATTTGTTTTGATAACATATTGATTATGTTTTCGATAATTATTCAGTTTCTATTTACTATAAAAAATCTGGCACTTCTCAAATTAGGTTTTTCAAAAGCCCACATTTTATTGGACAATGATGATTGTTTCCGATAACATATTAACAAAAGTGAGATTCCTAATGAGCTATATTTCAAGTTATATCGGTGCCATTCGAACTTTTATCGAATCGCTTATCTGATGTTGAAATTTCATTAAAATAATCATAAGTCGCGAAGGACAACGTATGGGCGCAAATCTTTTTGATATCTCACCGGTCTCACTGAGGTTTACACAAGAACAAACTGTAAGCTCGATTGTGGTTTAACAACTGACAACGTTCTCTCATCCGAATGTTCACTGTCTACAGCATGATTTTTACGTATTAGTTTATTGTGTAGTGTTTTACACATCTGTTTTCAGTCAACATTTAATTGACATTTCGACAATGTTTTGTTTAATTAAACATTTCATGCACGGAAAACATTCTAACTAACTAATATAGAAACTTTGTTAAAAGACATTTATTTTCTTGTAAAAACATCAAGCTTTGTCATTTCGTCCTCTAGTTCGTTTCAAAACATAAAGGCAACTATTTTTCATACTACGGCGTCATTCGTTATTCAACTACAAATAGGCTCATAACAATTTAGTGTGAGCTTGTCTTGCTTGAAGATGAAAGATTTCATGAAAGAAAATTTTCACTTTGAAAACATGACATCTATTAAAAAATTGAATTGGTACATGTTTATGATTTCAAAATAAATGGCGTTTCTTTCAAACTCTTCTGTATTAATTAGTTATTTGCATCGTATAAACTAAAATATCTAAGTATAGATAAATCTCTTTGCATACTATGGAAAGATGAAGAATATCTATTCAAAAGATCGGGTTTAATGTTCTTTGTAACTATGTATTTCAAAAAAATTCTATCTCATCTTGTTTTTAAATATTGAATAAATCTTTTAATGTCCCTCAAATGTGTTCTGTAAAAATGACTTGAAATAGCTGCAGTAGAAGCAACGGATTTCTCAATATTTTAGGACTATCTGCTGTGTTTTCGATTCTCCATTTAATTCTTTACACACATGGTAGAAAATAATAGAAAATTGTCTTAGGATATAAATACATCGCACACTTTAGGTTGTTGACCTCTAGAAAGGACAAATATGAAAATTGAACAAAGCGAAAAAGACACCGATTTGAAAAACAACTAGAGCTTAGCGTTTTTCAGTATGATTTGAACAAATCACGTCATATTTTCAACGTAATAATTTGTCAACAAAAATGCAGAGTACGCCACTAGAACGAAAAATTTGCCCTACTATCAAATACAGAAAAGGCTAGATTCTTGGTTTCACTCGCATGTTTGAAGAAAGGAAAGAAGAAATCGATTTACATAATACACAAAAAACTAATCTACATTAATCATCACTTAATGGAGTTATTTTTCATTCCATATAATAGTCGCTTGCATATTTATATGAATGAAATAGATATTTCGGCACTCTACTATGAATAAATAAATTACAGAAACTGTGTATGAACGCTTTCCTCTTTTTTTTCTGCGAGAGAAACATTTGTTTATTTGAATTCTCAAATGAAAAAATTGTCCTAGAACAAATACTTTTCTGAAATCTCTTCAAATTTTAAAAATTTCTTCAACGTGCCTTGGCGAACGCAGTTTGATTGGGTACTTCTCGTTTGTCAATAATTGTAGAGAAAAGATCAACACTATCCTATGAATGAAATACCATAAACTCAGAAATATGGTTACGACAATAATTTTGGGCTGTTTTTGCAGAGTTCATGTTTGCGTCATTCAAAAATTTGCTTAAGATTTTAAAAACAAGAAGTAATAGAACTTATTTTCAACATATACCTAGAAATACTTTCAATTTAGAATCTAAATAGATGTTCTCGATTCTTCCAAACAAGACTTTACACGATTAAAACTGAGACGACATTCTTTCAGGCATTTTTACAACTCCCATTTATTCATTCATTGCCTTGTTGTCGGAAGTGAGAAAATTTTAATTTAAAATATAGTAGATTATTATTTTATCGCTAATATAATTGATATATTTTCTTGTAAGCTAGACTTACATGAAGAAACATTCATTGAATATTAAGTATGTTTGGTATTCTCAAAAACAAAACATTTTTTTTCTATGACATTAAAAAGCATTTTATTAAAACATTAAATTTCTGTAGCTTTTGTTGGATTTTGATTCAATAGTGGAAGTAAACGTAGTTCATTATTGTTTTTATTATTCATTCTTCTTGATTCAAGCGAATTTTGATTATTTTGACAAGAAATAAATTGAATAAAATCGTCTCGAAATGATGTTGATATAATAAGATGAATATAAAATTTAGTTGAATAATTCATTGCTAAAAGTATTAAAAAACAATTAAGTAAAATTTTATAAATTTTCATTCGTAATAAACAATGCATGTCACGATAAAAATATTGGTCGCATAAAACAAATATTTCGACAACAAATGCTGGTAATAAAGAGAAAAAAAACCAAAGCGAAACCAAAAAAGTCAGTATTGAACGTTTATGCATGCGACGAGCACTTAAACTTAAAGTTTTTTTATGTATGCGTTTATGTTGACATCGGTTATTTAATAAAATTATTGAAGATATACACACAATCAATGATGGAATAGATACAAAAAGTATTGTATGTATTAATGATAATAAATGAATTCGTTCATGATTATTAGATGAAGAAAAATCACATAGAAATAGTGTAGCTTTTGCATTATAATGTAAATAAAAATAATTAGGAACTAGAAGTAAAATAACTATTAAACAAATCAATATAAGACGAAATATGACACGAGATCGTGTGACTATTGAACGATAACTCATTGGACAAAGAATCATTATACTTCTATCAATAGCAATTGATGCTAAATAAAGATTCGACAATGTTGTTGAACCGAGAATAATGCAATGGAAAATTCCACATGATAATACTTCTCGAGGATCATATTTAATAAGTGACATACTCGCAGTCCATAGCCATAATGCACCTTTTGCGAATATAGAAAATATTTGAATTATGATAGATAAAGAAAAGTATATTTCATATTAATATTTGTTTTGTTTTTCTACTAGAATATTTTTTTTGCTTAATTATTTTTTTTTTGACTTCTCGATAATATATACATTAGGCATCTGTTTACTAGAGAATTTTGGCTCATATAGGTAATTATTCATGTCAACGTACATACATATCTATTAATTAGTTTAAGTAGATATGTATTTCTACTATTTGATGTATATTAAATAAAACAAAAATAAAATATAACCGCTTGTATAAGTTTTATTTGATATTGCTGTGTCTGTTTAAAGGACTTAATTTATTTTTATATTTTCTCAAATATAAAACTATAAAATTCATACAAACCTATGAGAAAGATTAATTCACAGATTGAAATAGTAATAAAATATAATGAAGTAAATTCTTTCCGATTAGTTTTATTTGATAAAATAATAATATGAAAAATATGACCTGGTATACCAATTATAAAACAAATGAAGCCAGATGTATGCCAAATAATTTTAGACACAAGAACAAATCTATCATAAGTAAAATCATTATCACAAATGTCTAATGTTGTATTATTATGATTCATTATAATTTTATTGATTAATATTTCTTGATTATAATATATATCCCAATAAAATTTAAAAGAAATTCATATGTGTTTGCTTTTGTCAATCTAGGAAAATCAAAAATAGTAAAGCAAATAGATGAAGAAAATAATATTTTCTGGTACTATGCATCCTGTTAATGAAAAAGAATGTTTACATGAACCCTTTAAAGAGAATAGCATATATAAAAGGAAATAAGAATTTTCTTTCTGTTCTTGTTTCAATTAGCGATTGAGGAAATCTACTGAAAGAATAGTGTAAGAAACTTGTTTTTCTTCGTAACTGTTAACGTGGGATTGATCTAACAGATAAAGACTGAAATCCTCATCTTTATTTTTCTAAAATGACAACTATATATAGATGAACAAATTAGGAGAAAGCCTAAGGACAATTGGAAGAAGACATGATAGACGGAAAACACCTATACTATATCAAGAGAAGAGAAGCAAAAGGAAAGAAGAAAAGATATATATGTATATCGTAGATGTCATCTATGTAAGATAACAGAACAGATGAAAGAAAAGAAATACCATATATAACTGATTCACACTATTTCTGTGTGATTTTTCTTCATCTAATAATCGTCAACGAATTCATTTATTATCATTAATGCATGCCTTATTTTTTGTGTCTATTCCAT